CAACAAAATCTTATTTAAATTTCAGGAAAATGCATAGTGGAAATTGACATTTGAATATTTCACAAAAGAAGTATGGCTTGATTTTTTTTTTTTTTAACAAAATTTAAGTGGCCAGTCTTCAGAAAGTTAATTTTAGGCACAACTTTCAAGACATGTTTTATCAAATGTGGAGTTAGTAAACACTGATGGTCAAAAAATAAATAAAGTGAATCTCTTTTTGTATGTATAACTACTGTTTTAACCATCTTGTAAAGAGATGAAAATAGGTTTTGTCCATTACTCTGTAGCCTGAGTCTGTATCAGTAGGACACAGTACATCGATTGGTGTGATAATCAATTTTTTTATTAGGAATAAACAAAAGAAGCTCAGTAGTCAAGTATTGCTTCATTTATTTCCCTCTCTTGTAACTTTTGAATATTTTAAATCTGATTTTTCCAGTTTTATTGAGAAATAATTGACATACATCACTGTGTAAGTTTAAAGTGTACAGCATGATGGTTTAATTTATATATATAGGGAAATGATTACTACAGTAGGTTTGGTTAACATCCATCATCTCATAGATACAATAAAAAGAAAAGAAAAATAATTTCTCCTTGTGATGAGAACTCTTAGGATCTGCTCTCTTAAAGTTTCTTATATATCATACAACAGTGTTAACTCTAGTCATCATGTTGTACATCACATCCCTAGCACTTATTTCTCTGACTAGTAAGTCTGATTTTTAGATAGAATGATTTCCATGTTATCAAGTCATTTTTTCAAGTTTAGCCTAATTTTAAGAACAGTTCCTTATAGTATTTTAATGCTATAAAATTTTATTTTTATTAATTTCTTTAAAAAAATTTATCTGATGCTCTGAATTACATTGAAGAGAATAAAGGAAACATTTAGGGGAGGTAAGGGGAGGATATTTAAAGTTATCAGGAGAAGGGGTCATATGAAAAGGAGAAACTAATATTTCAGAGAATTAAGGGTTTTTTAAATTGAATTTTATTTATTTTTTTATACAGCAGGTTCTTATTAGTTATCCATTTTATACATATTAGTGTATATATGTCAATGCCAATCTCCCAATTCATCACACCACTACCACCTGCCCCCCTCGCCACTTTCCCCCCGGTGTCCATACGTTTGTTCTCTATATCTGTGTCAGAGAATTCAGGTTTGTCTTTCAGGACAAAAAGAGTAAGTATGAAAAATTAAACAGATATTTAAATGTTAACATTCCAGCCTAGGAGCACTTGTATCCACAAGAGGGCATTACTGTGTAACTCGGACTGTGTTTGAGTGCTGAGTATCATAGATAGATGAGCTACAAGGGGCCTCACAACTTTTGGTTATCTCAGAAGCTCTCTCTTCCCATTTGTGCTCTGCCAATACTCCCACTCCCTACATTTACTTTCTTTGGCTGTCCACCTTTTCTAGGTTCTTCTTCCTGGCAAGAGCCCCTTCTTGCTAGAGACTTTTTTCTCTTAAAAAGTAATTGAGAGCTTCCCTGGTGGCGCAGTGGTTGGGAGTCCGCCTGCCGAAGCAGGGGACGTGGGTTCGTGCCCTGGTCCGGGAAGATCCCACATGCTGCGGAGTGGCTGGGCCCGTGAGCCATGGCCGCTGAGCCTGCGCGTCCGGAGCCTGTGCTCCACAATGGGAGAGGCCACAACAGTGAGAGGCCCGCGTACCGCAAAAAAAAAAAAAAGAAAAAAATGAGCTGGGCACCATCATTGTTCATCTCTGAGACTTCGGTATAGTTCTGAGTGGTTGACTCAGACTTAACTCTGGTTTCTAAATCTAGGTGCATTCCCAGGTCCTTTGTGGTTTTAAAATTTCTGGTTGTTCCTTCACAGGCTAAATGGCAGTAGTGTTAATTTTATATCCTTGGGAGGCCAAGATCTAAGCTAGCAGGAAAGGCCTTCATGGTTCTTGGTGGTCTTTCTGTCCTAAAGAATCAGAGTCACAGCCTTTCAGTATTACTTGCATGATCAGTGAATGCCATGGTGTAGATCTGTCTTTTAGTTTACATTTCTTCCTTGGTTTTCTAAGAAAGAAATAGGTATCTTTGCTCTAAACTTCTAAGAAGTTTAAAAACATTCACATGATTAACTCATATATGTTAATATTAAATCTTTTGTACCATTTTTAAAGCCTTGTTTTAGGCTATTTTATATACAGAACTGTGGAGTAAAGGTAATCTGATTGAATCACTGTTCTTACTATGCAAATCATATCTCAGATATTTGGCAAAAGCTAATTAATAATAGCTTATGTTATTTCTAAAGCTGATTGTACTCTTAAACCATCTTTAAAAATGAACTCTAGAATTAAGCCCTTTCTGAGATTTTAGAGACTATGAGTTATTTAGTTTTTTTTTAACCTCCCTGAATGCATGCTTGTATTCATTTGGGGGGATCATTTATTGGAGTCTGGGAATATAGTGACATTGCCTTATTGTGCAATTACTGTATTCTTTGATTTTTCTAGACTAACTGGGTTAAAATATGGTAGTACCATATTTTAGTACTACCTTTCCCTTTTTTCCTGTTAACATTCCTCCTTTTTCAGTGATAGTAATTTTCTTTTTCCAGGTTTGTCCCTTCTGTGGTATAGATTATTTATTATTGAAAGATGAATTTGGTGGGCCAGATAATAACATTGAGTCCTTAATTAGTCTCTTATCAGCTGGCTTGAAAACTATCTTTGGTTGAAAGAATATAGTTCTGGGATGGAGATTTTTATCTAATTACAAATTTGAAGTTATGGCGATTTATCTTGCTTCTGGCTGAGAAACAGTGATAATTTGGTTGCATCACCCGTGTAACTTATTTTTTATTTCTGAAACTTTTATTTGAGAATTGGCTAGTTTAGTGTATTTATGTATGTACAATTACTATTTAACCTGTTTTCATAAAGGATTTGAGGTAACGTATTTTTCTTTTAATGTAGTCTTAACCAATTAAGATACTGGTGATGAACATATTAAGTGGAATCATAGATATTTGAAGTCACCAGAAAGGGGAAAAAACATTAACTGGAAAAGAATTTTATAATTTATCACAAATAATTAAATTGATAGGAATATTACTATTTTTCTCAAATCTTTCCTGTATGTATACTTAGAAAAATTATTTTCCTAAGCCTGAAGTTAACTTTGTAATTTAAAGAATTCAAAATTTCTTCTTTGGAAATCTTTAATATGAAAACATTGTAGTAGTATAAATTTATTAAATTTATACTACTAAATATTTAGTAGTAAATTTATACTACTAAATATTTAGTAATTTATACTAAATAATTTAATAAACATATTTGTGCTTACAATGTAGTAGACAAACCACTGTCCTGTATCAGTTGGAACTTAGACGCCTAGGGGAAGCCTCACAGTGAGTGGTGGACAAAAAGATGAGGAAAAATGTAACCTAAGGGAAATTAGGGGACATTAATATTCTTTTACTTCAGATACAAGTCTTGTTTAGCTATGAGTTATACATGCAGCCCCTAGCACAGTGGTATCATGATGTGAATTATATGAAGGCAGTCTGGTTTTAGCATTGTTTCTGAGAGATTTAATCACAAAATTAGAAACCTTTTATTATGTTTTTATGGTCTTTTGAAATTTGAGCAAGAATTAACCACTGTATCTCAGGAAACAAACATTCTAGCTATGATTTTTTTTCTTCTAATCTTTTTATTGGTTTCCAATAGAATTTGGCATTGAAAAATAAGGATGATCAGTTTTGTACCTATGTTTAAGATGTAATTCATTATACTATACTTGTGCATTTTGTTAGATGAGCAAACCCACTTTTTACTGAAGCATATATAAACATTTAAACATAATTTTAAGGGTTCAGTGAATGTGACTATTCCAAAAACACAGACTTTTAATTAAATACATATTTCTTTAGATTGGTTTCTATATAACTAGGAACTTACTTTCTTTTCAGTAAACTATTAAAAGAAGGGCTTGCAGCACGACATAAAATATATTGGTCACTTAATATTGTACATTGAAAAATTATTTTTAAAAGATACTTGGGATTGGGGTCATTTATGGTAAAATTTAACCAGAAGATGGCAGTGATGATCTTCAAAAAGTTTTACAAATGTAATAGCATGAAATACGCACGTTCAGCTGCTGGTATATAATGTTAAAAGTGACAGGTTAGGGGAAAGCATTTGCTGTTTGTTTTATATACTATGAAAAATGTGTATTTTTCTATAAGAAGGGATTAAGAATATTTTGGGTGTCTGTATCTTTGTCTGTACACTTCAGTTTTTTCTGAATACTGGGGTAAGGAAGTTACCATTAAGTCTTGCCTTGTTTAAGTTGCATGCATCACTTTATGTTATGCATCATGTCTAGAAGGCATGCTGTTTTATGGCCTGTTTGCATTTTTCTCCCAAATTGCTGGAAACTAATGGACTTTTAAAGGAGCCATTCCTTTAGTGATAGTCATTTCTCTAAATTGGCCCTTTTTATTTTTGGTGAGGGGAAAATATCATTTAAGACATCAATTTCTTTTTGAAAGAAAAAATTGACAAAAATGAACATTTTAAAATAAATCTCAGAAAACCAGACAGTAAACGACTTCTGAAGCAAAATTCAGAGTTTTGATTTGACACTAGTTAGAAATGAGCTGGTGATCTTAAAAGCAAAGAATTAGAAAAGGGAGAAGGAATGATCTCCTTTGAAAATTAGTACCCACATTTGGTGTTGGCCGAGATGAAGATGCATCCTTCCATAATCTTGCTTTTTTTTTTTAATATAAAGCCCAAATGCATTTTGCCAGAGAAATTGCATGAATCGTCAGCATGCATCGTTAACTTTGTCTTTCTCCTCTTCTTTCTACTGTTCATTTTCATTCATGTACTTTTGTTTTTTGGTTTGCCATTATTTTTTCTTTTTTGTTAATTACTTCATGTTAAATTACTTTTGAAACGTCATAAGCTGAGCAACCTCTCCGTGTAGTAACAGCGGATACCTGTCTATTTCACTATTTAGTCCCTCCTCCTATGTCTCCATCCTCCAAATCTGTGAGCACTCCAAGCGAAGCTGGAAGCCAAGACTCTGGAGATGGCGCAGTGGGATCTAGGTACAGTAATTTTCTTTCAGTATTTTAATGATAGAATGCATTTAGTGCCCAGATACTGTCAGTGCTGTACAGGGACTCTGAATAGTTATGTTGAGTTAGTCCTAACATTTTGAAATCTAAATGGCACAGAAATTGTTTGTTGTAAATTGGGGGGAAATTTTTTTAAACAATATTTTACTGTCACACTTGATTAACTGAGTACTGACTAGTTAACTGATTTTATGATGATTATTTTATATTAAAAATAGAAGTGTTCATTAAAATTATTTTTCTGTTTAAGCAAATTTTGTATTGGTTATTAGGTGAATGTTTTGGGTACAAATAGTGTAAAACCTCTCTACTGTATTATGCTTAATTTCCATTCAGTAATTGAAAACCTAAACAATTCAGTTAAACAGCCTAATTCTGTTCTATTAAGTCACTATTTCTAATTAAGGTAGAAAATAATAATGCATAAAATATCAGGAATAAGGAATAACTGCTAAGGAAACATTGAGTGTTTACTGGCTTCAATAACAAATTTAAAGAATTTTTAAAAAGAGTGTTTACTGGCTTGAGGGCATTATGCTAAGTGAAGTAAATCAGAAAGGGAAAGACAGATACTGTATGATCTCACTTATTTGTGAAATCTAAAAAACAAAACAAAATAAGCTCATAGATACAGAGAACAGATGGGTTCATTTTTATTTTCATTTCTAAAATTTTTGATGGTTGCCAGAGGTGGAGGGAGGGGGTGAGGGGTGGTTGAAATGGCTGAAGGGGGTCAAAAGGTACAAACTTCCAGTTATAAAGTAAATAAGTCATGGGGATATAATGTACAACATGGAGACTGTAGTTAACAATACTGTATTGTATATTTGAGAGTTGCTGAGAGAGCAGGTCTTAAAAGAAAGAAAAAATCACAAGAAAAAAATTTTGTAACTATGTATGACGGATGTTAACCAGACTTATTGTGGTGATCATTTCACCATATATAAAAATATTAAATCTTTATGTTATATACCTGAAACTAATATAATGTTGTATGTCAGTTATACTTCAATTAAAAAAAAAAGTTTACTGCCAAGTGTTCCTGAACTTGGGCCTTCCTTATAAAACAATATTTCATGTTTGTTTTAGGATGCTGCACACATGTTGGGACTTGATTTTCAAAAGTTCAGTAAGATTTCAGCTTCTTTCCAAAGATCATACTGAGAAAAGTATTATTACTTCTCTTTGTCACACACACAATAATACCAAGTCTTTGTTTAACAGCATCTTACATTTTGACTTCTTATGGCAGCTGAAATGAGACTAAACATAGTTAGTTTAGAATCTTTATTCAGAATCCTTATTTTGGTCTAGGAAGTTAAATGTCCTCCTCAGGAAAACTTCAAGACACCTTTTAATGAGAAATAAACTAGGAAGTTTTGTCTTCATTGTGCCCAAGCACCTCTGATTGAAGTTACAAACAAGTAATGAGCATCTAAAAGACAAGGCAAGAAAAAAAGAAGCAAAGGGGCTAGCTAATCCATAAACTCAGTACTTTAGTCAGTTTCTGAATAATCAGGTTGTCATTAATAATTAGAAGGCACAAAAGGCTCACCAGTCTGAATTTGAGATGTGCTTTCCAAACCTCTTCTGTTTATAGAACTGAAATTGCAAATCTAAGCAATACTGTTGTTGGAGGTAAATGACATAACTCTGTCATTTAAGAGAAGTCAAAACTTTCTGTTTAAGAATAATATTACCTCATAAAATAGTATGTATTACAGATTAAAGACTAAATTTATTTAGTCTAAATTCATTTTCAAAGGCTAAATTTGTTTCATACTTTCGTTCTTCTGTATTCTTATGCAAATATGTTAGTATTCCTTTGCTAGTAAACAGATGGCATTTTCAAGAGAAGGGTTTTATTTTCCCCTTATACATTACCATAATAAAAACATTTCCCAAGGTAAAAAAAAGTATTTTAAAAATTTCTTTATTTGATATTATATATTACTTTAATGCAGATACTCTACTGTGTTAATTCTGAACTCATTGTTCTTGATTTTGAATAGGAGTAGAAAGATTTTAATGCAACGTCAGCAAGTTTGCTTTAAAAAATACTATGTAACATCTGTATGAATTAAAATATGTCCTCCTGAGTTTCATTGGAAAACCTAGAGATTATTAGAGAGACCCATTGGAATATTGTAAATTGGTATAGGAAGTAAATAACTGTTAAGAAAAATATTTATTGTGTTAGAATACGTATTAATTGAATTGCCAATTTAATGTTAAATGCTATAGGTTACCACAGAAAATAATGTTCCTGGTCCTTGCCTTCGGGAAACTTGCATTCTAGTGTTCATTAATTTTACATCATTAATTTAAATGCTATTCACTGTATTGAAAAATCCTAAGAATGGTGTGCTAACTTGTGTTTATAGTGTAGATTTGTAATGATAAGATGTAAAACAAAAAAACAGGTATTTAAATATCTTTAGGGGTATTTGTTTTTATTAGAGAATGAGTAGAAAATAAGTTTCTTTTAAGTTTAACAGGAGAGGAAATAAATTCTCTTTTTAAATGAGGTGACTTGATATCTTTTTAGAGAGCACAGACTCATTTTTAATTGTTAATTTTCAAGAGGACTGATTATGTTCACTTCTTAATATATATGTATACACACACAGTAGAAAACTATGAATTCCATTAAATCATCTCCAGATTCCATAATAGATAATTAATATTGTTGATTAATTGGTGCTATTGGCAGTGAAACAATAGCATTTTAAAATATGTGGCTTTTAAAAAGAATGCTGGAGTCTGAGAAGGAACAGAATGAACTTCCATTGAGCAGGCATGATGATAAAGAATAAACAGGAAAATGCATGAAGGTGTGTGAGGTGTATGAACCTATACACTTACATTAGCTGGCCAAGACAGTCTAAGATTACTACACTTAGGGAGTAGGAAAAAACATGTTAGACATTACCAAGTATGATATCAAAACATCTGAATCACTCTTTCTAAATGCCAAAAATTTCTGTTGGGCTTGGTGGTAATTTATGAATAAATATATGAGGCCATAAAAATGATATTTCTCTAACTTTGCAGATTGGGAAGTTGCATTTCATTAAGATTTTATTTAGTTCACTTTCTCAATCACTTCTGTTATTGCTAAAATTTAGGTGACCGTTATTCAATTGAGTAATCCATGCCTCTTGTTCCTTTTTTCCATTCTTGATCAGTTTATCTCTTAGGCTTTTGATTATATGTCTCAGGATTATATTGAAATTTTACTTTATATGTCTGCAGATGCCTTTAATAAATATAATCCCATATGTTGTGCCATGTGTTTTCAGTACTGGTTCTATTTTGAGGTAGAGTTTTACTTGATTTTAGACTAAAATGACATCCTCAACAAGGAGCTCTATGTCATTGGTAACAGCTAGAGCTCTTAGAGAATGTAAAGGCTATGTACAGAACATTCCTTGAAGAGCACCTCATAAAACCCCGTCTGGTTTAACAAAGCCTAAGTTTGTTTCTGTTTAATGCTTAGTGTAAAGTGAATCTTCACTGTGGCCTCTTCCTTCTTTGTGTACACACAATACCATTTAAATCCCAAGATCTTTCTTTATATTTTTAAAATGAAGTATTTCTCTAGTTCAGTTCATCTGATTGCTTTTACTGATAAATTATAGAGGCAAGTATAGAAATCATTTCTTGTATTTAAATATTATAGCAGTTTTAGTTGTATATTGTCATTTGTTATATATGTGAAAAACAAATATATTTGACAAAGATGGTAGCACCGAATGTACTGTGCTTAACTTTTCAATAGGGACTATGAGCATCTTACAGTACTGTACATAATTATCTTATTATCGCTAACCTTTCAAGAGTGCCAATGTCATAAAGCAGCTTTTATTCTAGTAATAACTAAATTTTCCTTAAATCTTTTGGAAAAGATCCCACGTAAGTTGTTTACCCAATAGGCAAGGCTAAAATACAACCGAATATTTATTTAGGATTGATATTCTCCATAAGTTTAGTTAGTTTAGGTAAATCCTTTGAACATAAAATATTTTTCCTGGGGGAAAAAAATCTACTTTTTCCTAGAGACAGAAATCTTTAGCTGCTTTCTAAAGCAGATGACATGTAAGCCCAAGGCAGTGCTTAACCCATAAATTACATAAGGGTCACATTTTGGAAACTTTAGCTATTTTGTATCCCAGTGGAATAGTCTTTGGTTTTCTTACCGAAAGGCTTATGTGTTGACTCATTTCCTTTACCAATATGACAATTTCCTGCACACATTTAATGCTTTGGGCAAGATTATAATATGTTAACTAAGATGTTTTTACTAATGTTTTTTTCATTAGGAAACTTACAATTTCAACTTTTTTTTTATAGCTTAGCTTGTTATCATCCAAAAATAATGTGTTATTTGGGATGTTGGATGTTTTGGCTGTTCTTAGCCATTACTATGCAATATTAGTTTCCCAAAATCTGAAAATACTGTCTTTTAACTATTCTAGGTTGTATGTTTGCATCTTTAACCATATTATGCTTATTGCATGCACTAGAGCATTGAGTGATACCTGGTGTTTTTTTGTACTAACCAGAACATGTGGGTTTTAACTGTGAACCGTACTTTAGCTATTCGTAGAATGTATTTGCTTGACTAACTTATGGCCTTTTTTGCTAATGCTTCATGGTTGTCCTACAACCGTTTAGGACGCTGCATTGGGATACAGATCCATCAGTTCTTCAGCTTCACTCAGATTCCGATTTGGGGTATTGAATAGATTTATTACCTTCCCTCTTTTATAATTAATTTAATTCTTTGTGAAATTGTCCTAATTTTATTTTGCTTAAATTTCTAATATTCAGGTAATAGTTTGAAGGGTGATATTTTATTGTGACACCTCATTTATCCTCTATCATTTGTGAAAGACATATTTTATGTATCTGATTTTAGAGGTACCCTAAGTCTACCCATTTAAATGTCCAAATTACTTTTATTATTTCTATATTTTTGATGTAAGTTTTTCTACAATGTATTACAAACTTCCCATACTTTTTCTAATAAATATGCTATATGTAATTGAACCTTTTCTAGGTTACTCAACATGAATATTAATTTATTTTTCTATATTAAAATTCCCTGATGATTTCTAAGGTTTTGAGAGGAACAGAGCTGTTGGTTTCTACACCGTGGCTCCAGATTGCTATTGATTTACTCATTAATTCATTTATTCATTCGTTTATTTATTCTAGTCTCCAATGCAAACTATAAATGTTTGCTACTGCCATTGTGCCTGACTCAGATAGCTCTTTTCCCTTGATATTTTGCAGCTTCTAAAACATATGACCAACACCTTTAGGAATTATGTCTAAAGTTAAGAGTTAATAAGCCTTGAATTAGGCCATATAAGAAAAGTATATGAGCTTCTTGTACATTAGCTGGTAGGCCTCTCTCGGCTGCCCTGAGGCTTCCCCACCCCCCAGTTGCTTGCTTGTTCTCAGTAAAAGTGGCTTTGGATAACTGAGGTATTACCTCCCTAAATCTATCCCTAAATCTTAGAATATTTTGTTTGTTTGTTCTAGTATTGTGATTTTTACCTATTAAACCCTATATGTATTCAAGTTAGTAACTTGTTCCTAATGTTGGCTTGACTGTTTTTTATCAGATATGTGAGTGACTTACTTTTCATATGGTTTACATCTTAAATATCAGAATATAAAGTTTCTTATTTCAGATTTTGTTCTTAGAATACTAGATTACTTCAAATGTACTTAAAATTTCCCATTTAATTCTTTGATTATGCTTTTTTTTTTTTTCTTTAAGGCTAGATATTCCCAAGGTAGAAAACACATTAAAATTTTCTTATGGCCCACATTTGGGACCTTAGAGAAAATTAATTCTTTAAATGTACTAATTTTATTAAACTTTTTTGTACAGGATTTTGAAAAGGATGTTTATATAAGAAAAAAGTTTAGTTTATATTACCAATGTTATATTACCAATGATATATATATATATATGTGTGTGTGTGTATATATATTTCAGATATGCTCCTTTATATTCTGGAAGTTCCACCACTGTTTTTACTAGATATTCTTTTAAGACAGATTCATCATTGAGAACTTTGGGAGTTTGGAAGCATGCTATATTTGGTTTAGAATTTAGACATCTACTATAATAGCCACAAGTCTCTTCTTCTGTTTGTCAGAAAAGAATGTATTCCCCCCTATTTAAAACAGAAGTGGCTTTAGTAATTTCATGATATTCAGAAGATATGTGGCTTTAGTTTAGGTCTAACATGTTTGCACAATAGTTTGTCCGTATGTGAATCAAGGACCATGTTGACCATGCAGAGATTAGAGATTTAAAGTTTAAATATTTTATCTTAAAATCTAAATTGACTGTATGATTCTCAATTTCTGCAGAATATAAGTAGAAAAAATGGTTTTCAACAGAAACTTCTTTCTAACTCTGAAAGCTGAAGTCTTCTGATGGTGAAGGGAACTAAATGTGGTCTGAGTGAGATCCACATATTTGACTCTTGAAAAAATGTCCAGAATCGTATCCCTGCTAAAAACAGTTCTCATAACCAACCTTATTCAGCAGTCTGCTCTGAAATTCCTCTCCTCTTACTCTGTTATTACCCACACATTTGTTCTAAGAAACTAAATTATTTGCCTTTTTAAAGTGAAAAATAAACACCTTGAATGATTCGGAAATATCTTTTGTTTTTGCTACCTTCTAATTCTTTTGTTAAAATAAAGCCAATTGTTCATTTAAAATTTCTTGAATAAAACAGGGATTTAAATTACACTGTTGGATATATAGTGTTTAATTATTACTTTTATAAAATAACATTATTTGATGTAGTTAAAATGTATCATTTGTAATATTTAAAAACATTTGTGTTCACTTTATTTAGACGAGGACCTATTAAACTTGGAATGGCTAAAATTACACAAGTTGACTTTCCTCCTCGTGAAATCGTCACATATACGAAGGAAACTCAGACTCCAGTTATGGCTCAACCCAAAGAAGGTGAGTATCTGTCCTTAATATGATTGTCATTAAGCCGCCATATTAAACAAGTGGATTCTTTCCTTTTTTTTTTGTTTCTTCTTCTTTTTTTATTTTTTGGCATATTTCCTTAGGGGAATATTATAAAAGTAATGCTTTGGATTTCTGTATTTATGTATTTGTTCTTTAGAGTTTTAAAACTTTTTCTTTTAAGAGTTAACAGAAATATAAGCTGTATGTATGTTTTTAATTTTGTTGACATAAATGTAAATATTTCCATTTTCATATTGTCGTTGCTGTGTGCTGCTTTAGAAGCAGAAAAACTTAAGCATGTTCTATTTCTGTGTCATGAACATAATTAATCCCAAAATGAGAGTATCAATATATCCCATAGCAAATGAAATCATGTAAATTATTCAATATTTTCTGTGGAGTATACTGTATTCTGATATACTGTCATTGTTAATCCATATTAATGAACAAATCTAGACCTAATTCATAAACTTCCTCTTTTATGATCCAAGGGCTCTACTGTGTTGATTATATAGCAGTTTTTAATCTCTGTGAAACAGCCCCAGGATAACATTTTTATCCAAGAGTTTTTTTGTTTTGACCATGTGAATGTTCATCTCTATGGATACATATTTTTCATTCCTGCTGCTCTGTGGTTTGGTAAGATAGCTTTCACAGGTGCAAACTCCTCCTTTTACCAGAAAAAAAAAAAACCCTGATGGTTTTGAGACATAAGCCACTTAAAAAAAAGAAGACATGGAGCTTCCCTGGTGGCGCAGTGGTTGAGAGTCCGCCTGCCGATGCAGGGGACACGGGTTCGTGCCCCGGTCCGGGAAGATCCCACATGCCGCAGAGCGGCTGGGCCCTGTGAGCCATGGCCGCTGAGCCTGCGCGTCCGGAGCCTGTGCTCTGCAATGGGAGAGGCCACAAAAAGGAGAGGGCCCCACACCCAACAAAAAAAAAAAAAAAAAAAAAGACAGGAAAGATAAAGTGTTGAACTACCAGTATGGAAAAAACTAATACTGTAGGATTCTATAATTTCCAGAAAATATTATTTTATTAACTAGTATATTCAAGTGTTATAGTTTCTGTCTTTTGGGAGCTATATTGTTAGATATGTTAACTCAGAAAGTGAGTAAAATAGCCAAAATGAGGGTATAGTGACTCATTTAAAAAATAAATTGGGCTTTTTTTCCTTCTAGTAATAATTTGGAGATTTAGCTTTACTTTGAGATGCTTTTTGGAGTGTTTGAAATGTAAAGCATTCTGAAGCTATTTTGGGTAATACCTATTATAATATACCTATAATTAGTGTAAGTGAAGACTTCCATTTAAAAAAATTTTTTTCTTTTTTTTTTAATAATTGTAGTAGTGTATCATAGAGAATTTAGAGAAGACAGAAAGGGTAGGAAGTGTCTGTTATACCACTATGTAGTAGCCAGTTTCTAGTCTGTTTTCCATGATATATTTTTTCAAAAATTATATATGTATACATAAACACACACAAACATACGTATATACACACATACGGTTTTATATCCTACTTGAAATTTGCATTTTTAATTGCTTATTTTTGACATGCATATAAATTTTAAAGTGTGAATGTGTGACAATGTCTTTGAACTAATTTGAATGTATAGCTACATAGTATATGCCTGGCAGTTTTCAAAAAAATTTTTTTTCCCATTTTTATTTTTCAAGTAATTGGAAAATTTAAAAGATTGTGATTTGTAAAGTAAGCTGATGACCCGGAAGTTCAAGATAAACTTTTTTTTTTTTTTTTTTTTTTTGCGGTACGCGGGCCTCTCACTGTTGTGGCCTCTCCAGTTGTGGAGCATAGGCTCTGGACGTGCAGGCTCAGCGGCCATGGCTCATGGGCCCAGCCGCTCCGCAGCATGTGGGATCTTCCCGGACCGGGGCACGAACCCATGTCCCCTGCATCAGCAGGCGGACTCTCAACCACTGCGCCACCAGGGAAGCCCAAGATAAACTATTTTTTTCACTTTGAAATTATTTAGGGCAAGGCTTTTAGTGTTATCGAACTTCAGCTTCTTTGCCAAATTTTGCATGAGTATAGGGATTGTTTCTTCTTCATTGCTGTAATGCCTGGTTTGAATAGTGTATGGCATGTAGTGAGTACAAACTCAGTAAATATTTGGTGAAGGAATTAATTGCTTTTACCTACTCAGGAGAATGATTTACTTATTTGGGATTTTTTTTTTTTTCATGCCTTTACTGTGGAAGTAACTGCTGGGAAAATAGGTTATTTTCAAGTGTTAATGCTACAACATAATTATTGATGAAATTGGGTGAAAAGGCACTTAGTCTCAGTTCTTGGTTTTAACATGAACATATCATGTTCTAATCATTATTTGCTCTTAGATCCATATATGAAACATACATTCTCCTTTATAGCCTTCTTGAATTCCATGATGACATAGTATATAGATATAAACGTGCGCTGTTATTTTATGTTTTATTTATCCCTCTGAATGCTATGAACAAAATTGGACCTTTTAGCATGTTTCAAATATATTATCTTAGCTACTTGTTTTAACGGTTCTTCAAACCTCACGTTCAAATTGATGACTGAAAATTTTAACAGCAAAGAGTGTCTACTACATATCAGGTATAGTGTAAGGCACTTTACATTACCTCTAATCCTCTTACCAAAACCTTGAGAGTTAAAGAGTTAAATATCGGTTCTGTTTACATAGGAAGAAGCTGAAGCTGAAAGAGATAGCTTATCAAGGGTCACATAGCTAGTAGCTAAGATTCTAAACCAAGTCTGACTGATTCCAAGGTATGCTTTCTCTCATGCTGCCACTGAAGCAGCACTTTCATGCTTTTATGATAGTCACCTATGGTAAGAAATTCAATTTATATTACAATCTAGTACAAACATAGATACAGATGTGTACAGCTGTCCCTTGAATTTCACAAGTTCACTTTACACCACATTGGGAGGTGGTGTCCACTAGAGCAGAGAGCTCCTTCCCTGGGAACTACACACAGCATCTCGGCAGAAAGCTGCCATAGCTTTGAACTGTGTCTCTGAGCATCTGTGCTGTATTTATTTTGTGCATCCGTTAACGGGATGTGTCTAAAGTAATTACTTCTTCAATTTACACCACTTCAGCTTAAGAAAGAAAGGTTTCATAGGATTGCTCTACTTTCGAATAGTGGGGGAAACTTGTAACTGATACAAAAGTTTTATGAAATAACACCTTTTCTGCTCTTGCTATATTTCATTTTTTTCAGTGTTGACCATAATACACTAAATTTATTGGCTTAGACCTGTAGTTTGAAAATTACTTCATTAAAAGATAGCATGGCTTAGTTAACTTATTTATCGATAAATTTGCATCAGGATAATATTTTATAGTGATTGGCTAAGAGTAATTAATAAACAGCTTTGATCTTTTATGGTGTTAAATAGAATTTTTCTTATCCTCACTGATAGAAGGTGAAAGTGGCAAGATGGGTGAACTGAGCCCAGTTTCTAATGGGTATGTCTGTATTAGCACCACTATCTTTAAAATTTTCCTGTGTGAACTAGACTTAGATGTTAGTTTTATAAAGGTCCACGTTTATTCATTTGCAACAAGAATTCATGGATTCTGCAAGTTTATTGAGTATATGCTATATACTCGATTATTTCTTTGTTTTTTTTAGTTTCAGATTGAGGTATGTAAGTGAAGGAGAATGCGAAATGTACCCCAATACCATGGAGCCATCCTTAGCCTTTGGAACTATTTATAAAAATGAAATCATTTCCTCTCTATATCATTACAATTATTTTCATGTCCAGGGCTCTTACATTGTTTCTTTTCCTAATTTGTAGAGGTTCTAGAAAGAGGGAAAGAAAAAAAAAACCTGAACTTAAGGTTTTATAATGAAAACACTTTGTGCATAACTGTACTTCTGCTTATCCATTGGTTTAATACAGTGCCTCTCAAACTTAGCCTGGTTGGCTCACGTTTAAGAATTACGTAACAAATTCCAAAACTCACCGTGAGACAAAATTGCTGAAATCACAGTTTGAGTGTAACAGACAGTAAATTGAACTTGGGTAGGCAGTATAATTAGTGCAGAAGTAACGTGAGTTACCAAATTGAAGATAAAAATTGGTTTTAGGCTTAACTCTTTTTTTTCATTTTTTAAAAATGGCTGAATCTATTCTTTTAAAAAGCAATTTTTATTCTTCTTTTTTTCCTTTTTCCCTATTCTAGCCATCTTCTTTCAAGTTTACTCTGTAAGTTGGTAGTACCATTTCTGAACTGAGGTGCTTTGCTGTCTTAAAGCACCTACTGTGAATGAAATTGACAAGGAACATGTGACCTCAGTCAATTTTGTTCTCGGCAGGTAAAAGAACTTCTCATGGCAGGAGTGTGGTGCCCACAGATACACTCCTGGAAAAGTTACTTTCTTCTCTTTTAAAAGTTTTTAACTCTTTTGAAAATGGCGTTATTTTTTTCTTATTCACCTCGTCAGTATGGATTTTTTTGTTGTTGTAATTTTTAGACACAGATTTTTAAAGAGGAAGAAATTCCAAAGTTTAATCAGCTTGTTTACACCTGAGGAAACTGAGACCCCAGGAAGTTCATTGATGACCCTATGGTCACAATATAAGAGAATATCAGACTACAGCCAGAACCTGGTTTTTGATTTCCAGTGAAGTGCTATGTTTCGCATATCATTCCACTTTCTTATCTTTGTGGAGTTTTGTAATTATTTTTGGTGTTGATTTAGTAGTCAGATATTCTTCCTCAGGTACGTGTTGATCAGCATTTATAATGTGTAGAAAAATGTTATATGTAAAATAGCTCTTAATTTTTTTATTGCATGATCTTAACATCTGGAATCCACACTTCCCAAGTAGACTAAATCTGTGGGCCTTCTGGTTTAATAGTACCCTTGTCTAAAATGGATTTTAAAAAAAAATCCTGGAATAAATAACACATGTAATAAATTAGTTTTAAACCTCAGAGAATCTGTGAGAATATAAAAATAATTGAAAATTGAAGCATTTATTCGTAACCTTGACTGAAAGACTTTAATCAGCATATCTGAAATTGTGGCCTCAGAAAAATGTAATATTTATGAGATCGCAGATAACAGGATCTGTGTTAATGATGCCAATACTGCCTAAATAAAATCTGAATTTTACATAAAAAGAGACAATGTAGAGAGACAAATTCTGTGTTAAAGTAAATGTTATGTATGATTAAAGTATTACTCCCTTTTTATTTATCTTCCAAATTAGCATTAGATCTATATTCAAAATATTTCCCAATTAAAATTTTCCCTTGTTGAAGATCTAAATTATTAAGGAAATCCAAGTGACCTTGCATCTGATTCTGGGTGTTTAAAAAAATAAAAGGAATGAATTCCATTGATACATTCATGAAGTTTTGTCCTAATATAAGATTTTCTTAATATTGATTTTAAAGAGTAAGGTATAAGAAGATGAAATTATGGACAAATGGATCGAAATGAAGTGATTCAAAAGGATGTTGATCCAGAAAAGAAAGGGTTATTTTCAAAATATTAAAGGAAAATCATTCATATCTAACATGTATTTTTCAACTTATGATTGAAGCATTTCCCTCTAATATTCTCATTTTGTTTGTGAAGTTATTAGTTGAATTTTTGTAAATTATGTTTTTATATGCAACACATTTCCTGAGTTTTGGAACTCAGTGGCAACTTCTTTTGTATCATGAGAAATCAGACTACTCTGTAAATTAGAAATTCTTCATAAGATATTAAACTATCTTAAAATACAGTACACCAGTATGATGAAACTAGTTAATAAATTTATAGACAACAAATGTATTTCCTAAATGACATTAATGCCCCGATGATGATATTTATTTTTGACCTCATACTGAGCATTAATTGTGAGAAGTGATAGAATAAAGAGTATCAGTGTTTAGTGAGGATTTTCTAGGATCTTTCATATTACCTGTTAAATATGTTGTAATATTTTAAAATAATTCAAAGCATGCGTTGTGGCTTATTCTTAGATGTCTCTTAAATGTAGCGTGACATACAGATGAGAAAACTTGCTCTGAAGACTCCTTCCTTCAGCTTAACAAAAGCCACCCATTTCACAGATGATTTAACTTTGATTAACCTACTCCACTGTAACAGATTATTCCAACAACTGGAATTTCATTCTTTGGTGTTATTTCTAGGTGCAGCTTAATTTACAAAACTGCTTTTCTTTCCATCTCACCAAAATACATCACAATTTTGATGTTAACTCAGTAAAAATTCAATGGTTCATTAAACCTAGTCTTAGCATTCATTGACAAGAGATTTGTCATTTTAAAAGTAACTGCTACTTTTATGCATTCTTTACTGCTCAGTTTATAACCTTAGATTCCCTGTCAGAGAAAGCATGGAGTTAACCACTTAGCATATTGCAATGAATATTCATCAATAAATTGATGTGACATGGCAGTCCCATTTTTCAGTCTTCCTGCATTGTTGCAGTCTTTTTTAGTTTTAAATATAGATAATCATGTAATAGGGACTAGCCTAGAAAATCTTTAGAATTGTAATACTATATTTTTGGTCTAATAATATAGTATTATTAACATAATACTATATGTTAATGTTTTTTTAGTAGCTAATTGTATTAGTTTTTAATAAGAGAAGTGTATTTGTTTCAGAGGAACAGTCTCTAATCTGATGTTACTGATGTTAGGCATTTTTTGCCAAATATTTGGTATATATAGATAATCAGCTTTATAATAAAAATACTGTTTTGTACTTTTAAAGAACAGATCATTTTTGTAATGTTCCTGGAATTTTTATTTAGCTTAGTCATTTTTATGAAGCTTGGGTTTATCATAGTTTTTAATTCATCTAAAAAGAGAGCTATGTACATTCATTCTAAAATAGAATCCTGAAAACAAGTATTTAAATAGATTATTACTCATTCAGACACAACTAAAGTAATCTATATGGGCAAGTTAGCATGGCAAATGCCATAAAGTAGGCAGATACAGATCACTGTTTACCATACTTCATCTACATTTTAAATTTTAAAAGGAAAAGAGTGTCTATAAGCACGATCTTTTCTGTTAAATATATAGATTATGAGGTCACTTAGCACTGAAGTACCGACCATATGCATTATGACAGGAATTTGACACCTGTCATTGGAAATGGTACTTAGAAACCGTATAATGCAACAAAGTTGAGGGAGGGAAATACGATGTGGATAGGAGGCTGTAATTTATAATTCACAGTGCTTAAGAATGACTTGTCCAGGGCGACTCAGATTCCCTATCTTTGATTTTAGGATTTACATACAGTGAACCCTACTAGTCGACAAAATTGATTAAGATAACTGACAGTATTAGCAGAAAATACATATTTTCAGACTTAATTTTTTTATAGATAATTTATAAATTTATTTATTTTTGGCTGTGTTGGGTCTTCGTTGCTGCACGCGGGCTTCCTCTAGTTGCGGTGAGCGGGGCTACTCTTCGTTGCGGTGCATGGGCTTCTCATTGCGGTGGCTTCTCTTGCTGCGGAGTATGGGCTCTAGGCGCATGGGCTCAGTAGTTGTGGTTCACGGGCTTAGTTGCTCCACGGCATGTGGGATCTTCCTGGACCAGGGCTCGAACCTGTGTCCCCTGCCTTGGCAGGTGGATTCTTAACCACTGCACCATCAGGGAAGTCCCCAGACTTAATTTTTAATTGAAGTAAATATCCTGTTATTCTAAAAGTCAACTTAAGTACAATTAAATTATTACATTACACTGGCGAGTGACTTTATGGTATAATTTCATTGTAATGTTGGAGCAGTACAGTATAGAAGAATTGTTACCAGTTACACTGTTTTCAGATTAATAATCCGTTGTATATGAGAATTCGTCTAAAAAGTACTGTCTTTCTGTTTTTCTATGTGATTATTTTGCCCAAAAAAAAGCTTTCATTTTTTTAAGTAGCACAAAAGCTGTAATTGGCATGCTTTGTAAGGAAGTGTCAGTGTGCAAGAGAGTGGCGATCACTAAGAATTCTTGTACGTGTTCTTTCCCCTTTGCACCACCGCCTCCTCAGCGGGGTCACTGAGATCACTAGCTTTTCTTGAAATGGCCATTTTCACTGGCAGGTGCATTATACCCTGTATTTTCAGATTGTTTTTCCATTCTGAATGTTTGGCAGGTTGATTGCTCTGGCTGCATTGACGGAGAAAGGGCTGACAAATGCGGTTGGGCTGGCTGAAAAGACAGTGATTACTGTTTTCCTTTGTGGCTGATTGAGGCCCTTGAAAGGAAAAATTTTAACCTTCACCATTTGGTTCAAAAGTATGAGCATATATTGAAATCATTCGTGCCATTTATCCTAGTTCTGTAAACTTGTCAGAACGTAAAAATCGCTCAATTTCAAGTAATGTAGGATTGGCATACGTCATTATCATTTTGATTAAGTTGGAGGTTGTATCATTGTGTGCAGTATACAGTGTCATTTAAAGCTTTCTTTCCTACAGGTACAGTTACATTTTTATTGCTTATACTATAGAGTTAGAAAGATTTTCATAGCTCTCCAAACCTAACACTATGTGTGTGGTTTGGCAGCTGGTGTGGCCTACAAGCTGCATTTTGTTTGCAGGGTAAAGGCTTATCTGTAGGCCTCCTGGAGTGTGGGTAATTGCACAGGCTCGCCATTGGGGAGAGACAGGATTGGAAGCAGTCAAGCGGAAGAATGTTATGCCATCCCATTGCCACCTTGTAGCAGAAAGACACAATCCCAGCAGTGCCATCTGGTTGTTGCTATCTAGTCAGCTGGCCTGGCTGCTGGGACCATGACTTGGCAGCTGGTTCCCATCCTTGACTATTCTTTTGTGTATGTCGTATGTATGCGTGTTTTAGATAATTTTGAACATAGGTCGGGGAAATGACTATAACTAACAAGTAAAGTCCCCTTACTGAATGGGCTCTTATTACTTGAGATGCGCTTTGCTGCAGACGCCTGCTGCCATTCCCTCATAGACAAATGACACATCTGTTTACGCAATAAAAATAAGCATTTGCTTAATAAAAATCCATCTCAGTATGTAGTGAAAGAGAAGGTAGGCAGAGTTGTATGTTCTAGAACATTTTAAAATAAGTAATTTAAAGTTATTTCCTGGTTTGGGGGTATAAGGGGAGATTTAATAATTTTTAAAAGTCTTAGAAACATTGTATATTATCTCAATATGTATTTTTATTCAAGTTAAGAAAACATTATGTTAAGTGCTTATTGCCACATCATGTAACAGTAGATAATGAGACTTGCATTTAAAATGACAGAATAGAAAATGTGGTCTCATAGCTATTATCTTTAAAATCTGCCTCTCAAATAGCAACCTGAGAGTTAATGTAAGCCGTCTTTATGCCATATGAAGACCCATTAGACACTGATGGTTTCAGATCACAAGTAAGCAGCCAGCTCTGTAGGCTATTTTAGACATTTGATTTTCTTCACTTTACAGCATTAATGTGTCAGCATGCTACATAAAACTATGTAGGAGTTGCATGTTGTTCTGTCTGGAATGATAAATGCTTGCAAGCTTTTAGAGATTTCCATGAGGGACTCATCCTAGTTGCTTATATATCTTATTTCAGTTTATGTTGCTACAGAATTTGATATGACTATTGCTAAGTTACCACATAGGTATGTATAAAAACCAAGAAGTTCCACTTAATTCTTTTTTTAAAATTGTATTGATAAAACTTATATTATTTGTACTCTTTTGCTTTTGTCTAAAGAGTTGTGATACTTTCTGAAATAATTACTTCAAGAGTTAGCAGTTATTTTCATGAAAATAATTTTTGTGTTATTCTGTTTTTTTCAGATGAAGAGGAAGAAGATGACGTAGTGACTCCTAAACCACCTATTGAACCTGAGGAAGAGAAAACTTTAAAGAAAGATGAAGAAAGTGATAGTAAAGGTATCTTAAAGAATTCAACTTAAAAAAAAATAATTTAAAAAATTTTGTTGATTCCTGTTAAGACTACTTTTATTATTTATATATTAAAGTAGAATAAAATGCTTTAAATCAAAGAGGTGAATCTGCTTGGAAAAAAATGAGTGACATTCATTGACGCAAATTGTGATAGTGAGGTGACATGATTTGAGTGGCATAAATCCGACTTCAGAAAAACGTTTGTCTCACAGCCCCCCCGCACGAGCTGACTGAAGAAGAAAAGCAGCAAATCTTGCACTCTGAGGAATTTTTAAGTTTCTTCGACCATTCTACAAGAATTGTAGAAAGAGCTCTTTCTGAGCAGATTAACATCTTCTTTGACTACAGTGGAAGAGATTTGGAAGACAAAGAAGGGTAATATTTAATTGCTAAAATTATGGGTTCAGCAATGTTAAATTACTTTAAGATTAAGAGTGGGAAGTTATAACACAGTTGTTGGGTTTTTTTTTTTTGTCTTTTTCTGTAGAGAGATTCAAGCAGGTGCTAAACTGTCATTAAATCGACAATTTTTTGACGAACGTTGGTCAAAGCATCGGGTTGTTAGTTGTTTGGATTGGTCATCTCAGGTAAATTATAACATAATTGGTTGCTATTGACTCATTTTTGAATTCCAGTAAGCAGGTAGTTTTAATTGTGGAAACTTTGTGTAATTAAATCAATGTATATTATTGAAAATTACAATGGATGATGGTTCTAAGGTTATGGTTGTCTTATGTACTTAGGAAGAAAGGATTGGAAACACTATATTTAAAAATCAAGAGTTTATTTATGCCACAGCCCAGTTTTACTAATTTTAATTGCTCACCAAATCTCCTTTGGATAGAATTGCAACACATATTTTAATAAAATATTTTAACATTAAAACATTTAAAATAACTAAACTAATTTAAAGTTTTACTAATGTTCCAGCAAGCATAACTCTAGAGATATATTTCTTGGTGAAGTGTTAGGAATTTGTATTTTCAGAATAATTTAATAATAACAGTTGAGTAACTAGGAATGTAAAACAGTTCTCATTATGCATAGCGTTTTTTTCCCACTTGATTCTTGGGAGCAGTATCCAGAGTTACTTGTGGCTTCCTATAATAACAATGAAGATGCTCCTCATGAGCCTGATGGTGTGGCCCTTGTATGGAATATGAAATACAAAAAAACTACTCCAGAGTATGTGTTTCACTGCCAGGTAAGATGGTCTTTTAGCAGTCTTTCCCAAGTTTAAGAATTCACTAATGAATTTAGACAAGTGCCTTTCTTCTTTTCTTGTCAACATAATGATTTCATTGGATTGGCATTTACTAAACCACCCCGTATTTGCAAACAGATGTTAACGAAAAGCTGAAGACTTCTCAGTTCAACATGATCTGCGTTTTCTAGCTTTTCTGACATCTCTTATGTTTAATCACACCTAAAGTCCTTTGCAGTTGTGATTTTCTGTTATTGTGATTGATTGTATAAAAGGAATCTTCTATAAAATGTCTTTTCTACAGGGAGTTTCTCAGGAACTTATTTGCTGAATATACAATTAGATGGTTGGCCCACTGAACTACTTATACATGGCCTGAGGAGTTGGAACTAGATAGTTTTAAGTAGAAACATATGTTTGAAGTAGGAAACAGATGCAGATTTTTAAAGTGGATTTAGTGGGAGGTTAGAATTTGCAAACCTTTCTGGTTGCATAAGTTATAATCTTTTAATAATATCATAATTCTGCAAAAACACTTAACTGAATCAAAACTAGCATATACTCTGTTGTCAGATTACTGTCAGAACCTAAAGTAGAGCCAGTTATCTTCTGATTTAATGATGTAATCAAATTAAATAATTTTTGCTTTCTTCGATAAATTTCTTAAACATTTCTGTAAACAATCATTACATTTGACTTTTAAGCAAAAGTATTCTAAAGCTGTATCTTATGTTCTAAAGCAAAATGAAATTTTAAAGTATATTTATTTACTGTTTTTTTATAATCTCTGATAGTTTACAATAAAGGGGAAAATGTTTTGGATATAGATTTATTTTTATAACTTGTCATGCTTCTTCCATTTGAACCTTAAATATAAAAATCTTGCTATTTGCAGTCAGCCGTTATGTCTGCTACATTTGCAAAATTTCATCCAAATCTGGTTGTTGGTGGTACATATTCAGGCCAGATTGTGCTGTGGGATAACCGTAGCAATAAAAGAACTCCAGTGCAAAGAACTCCACTGTCAGCTGCAGCACACACAGTAAGTAAAGGGGTTATTTCCATTAGATTTCTGTGTTCTTTCACCATTAAATACTTAGTAGTGTCCATCAGAGTAGTCCCAAAATGTGTTTCCTTTGATGTGTGAATTTCTCATCATTTAGCAACCAAAACTAAGGCTTTTTTTTTTCTTTGTATTTTTGGAAATCTATTTTATTAGAAACTTATCTCTCTTCTGAGATAATGTTTTGCTAATGTACGGAATAGCATCGAATTTCACATTAAAAATGCCATCAAGATATGAGACTGGATATGAAACAGAATACCTGTGATTATACAGTAAAAATTATTTCATTTTTTTTTTGGTAAAATAATCCCAGAAAACTTTAATATCTCTTTTTTTAGCATCCTGTATATTGTGTAAATGTTGTTGGGACACAGAACGCTCACAATCTGATTAGTATCTCTACTGATGGAAAAATTTGTTCATGGAGTCTGGACATGCTTTCCCATCCACAGGTAGGTTAAACTTGGAAAGCTCTGAAATTTTGAGGCAAATATTGGGTTTTTTTTTTTTTTGGTATTTTTTTAAGTCTATGTAAACCCTAGCTTATGTTTTTCATAAATGTTTTATAATAGTATTATAGTAATAGTTTATAAATCTAAACATGTATAAATGTAATTTGTGGTGTATATACTTCATTTTCAAACCTGCTTCATTTAATCAAACTAAATTTATATAAGTATAGTAAAATAATTGTTTACAAACTAATTAAGACTAGAAAATTTTCTTTAAAAAATTATAAGTTTACAAAATAATTTACTCAATTTTTTCTGTGTAGGATAGCATGGAATTGGTTCATAAACAGTCAAAGGCAGTCGCTGTGACATCTATGTCCTTCCCTGTTGGAGATGTCAACAACTTCGTTGTTGGGAGTGAAGAAGGTTCTGTGTACACAGCATGCCGCCATGGCAGGTAAATCTAAACTGGAATTTACAATTATTTAAAATTCTCTCTTGAATAATCGTATTAAAACAAATTGCCTCTTATTCAAGTAGAAATCTGTCCTAGAGCCACTCGTTATTTGTGACAAATTATTTAAATTCAGGTATATAAAATTAAAACTTAAATACTTTTTTAAAATAAAAGGTTATTTTGGATCATGATGTGTTCTGGATTTTGAGGGTTGTGGTGTGTTGTGATTTTTGTACGTGTGGACATGCTCACAAAAGTTAGTGGTAGGAAGTAGCATTCAGCAATTACAAATACAAAATGCACATGCCACATACTGACCTTTAAAGTTGTAAATAAGATTTTCAGCTGTTTTTCCATCTTGATTTATTTGGACTTTGAGCCTTAGTTCAGTCCTCCTGATAATCGCACAGTAATGTCACATACACGTTTTAAATTGACTAGTATTTCTCCTGCTGTTCAACCTGTTTTGAAATTGTCTAGCTGTACCTTATCAATTGCTTCCTTTAAAAAAAAAATTGAGGGTCCAGATTTCATCTCAAGTACAAATCACCTTCACTTCAAAGCTTTTGATTTAAAAGTAGCCCAGATTCTCTCTCTTACATGTAGCATTCATTTGTCTCTATCCCACCACCTCAGAACCTCAGATATTGGACTTTTGATTTCTGTCATCTATAGTATGATGTTTATGGTTCCAAAATGTACTTAACCACTTTAGTAGCCTTATCAAATCTGGATAGGTAACACTCAACATAATTATTCTTATGTGTTACGAGCACAGAGTTAAGTTTGTTGAAATTATGTCAAAGTGTAATAAATAAACCCATGATAAAATATATTTATAAGTGCTCTACTTACAAGAGATTTCCCTATTTTCACTCTTAATGAAACAGCAAAGCTGGAATCAGTGAGATGTTCGAGGGACATCAAGGACCAATTACTGGCATTCATTGTCATGCAGCTGTTGGAGCAGTGGACTTCTCACATCTTTTTGTCACTTCATCATTTGACTGGACAGTAAAACTTTGGACAACTAAGGTATCTAAAAACAGATGTCTAGTCAAGTACTCAGGTTTCTGACACAAGGTGGTGCTCTATTACTACATGGGAAAGACAAAAAGCCTCCTAATAGCTTACAATGATTTACTGATAGATCAAACCTAATAAGTTACACAGAACATGAGTGAACAACTAGATGTTGAAGTTTTCTTAAAAGTATGCTGACAAGTGTGGTAATCCCACACATGACCCAAGACCAATCTTCCCACCACTTCAGGCTTTTCAAGCACAGAACTGCTTACCCTGAACTGAGTTGGAGGAAAAGCCGCTGAGGATCTCACATGGCACTCACGTAGCTGCCCTATAGCCCAACACAAAAGCTGTGCATTTGCTCTTTGAAGAGCTTTTAGAGGCTGTTCAGAACTGCATTGGCTCACAGAGCTGATGGAAACCGGAGAAAAGATAGATAAAACCTGAGGTGTATAGTAAGTCTTATACAGTGAGACTATACATCATAAACTGGAATCATTAAGAAAGTATTGTGTAAATACTTCTGTGTAAATATATATGATGCATATATATTTTTGTTTTCTGCAATACATAATTTAAATAGTTTGTTTGGGTTTTAATAAGCTTTGAAAAACCATTTATGTTATAAAGTGCTTCCGATCCTACAGCAATTCCAGATAGATGTGACATTGCCATGCCTCATTGAAAGTCTCAAGGCAAATCCAGGTAGGGAACATTTCTTCCTGTGATAGGCCTTGTAGTTTCATTTGAGTCCATTTAAAAATTAAAGTGCCTTGACTTTTCTGTCTGGCTTTTCTGCAGTATTACATTGCTGCTGGCAAAGCTGCATACTTGAAATATCAGATTCTATTTAAATTAAGTTAAATTTTAAGCTGTGTTTTTTCATGTTTCTGTCTGCCTTATCCTAACTTTATTTGATTCTTCAATTTCTTTGAGAAAACCTAGTGGTCTTAAGAGATATTCTTCACTATTACAGTGGAACTCATTTATTTATCAAATGCTGGCCTCAGAAATCAGGGATGAACTCACTATTCACTCTTGTCCTTTCTTGATGCTTTCTTAGTGAGTTAGAAAACTTTCTCTTAAAATTGAACGTTTTCAGGTTGGGGATTAATTAGCAGGCATAAAAATAGCATTTAAGTCTAATGAAGGAAAACATATTAAATTTAACACAGTGTCTAGCATGATAGGCACTTAACAGTATTCATTCAGTTCCTCCTTTTCCTCTTCATGGAGATTAGACGCTTGGTTTGAATGCATATACTGTCAATCATCTGTTTTCTTTCCTGGATTGTTCTTGAATTTTTTTTTTTTTTTGAATGAGATTTATACAGTGGCAAAAGGTAGAGGTAGAAGATTCTCACAATCACCAGCAAAGAAACGCATAATCCAGCTAGTAAAACCAAAGCAAGATGCAGAATTGGAAAGATGAAGCCAACTCTCTCTCTCTAGGCTGTAGGCAGCTACGTAAGTGGCTAGATTTCTGGTTATGCCTTCACCTGAGTAGTCCTTTATATAGAGACACAGGAAATGTTACATCTTTCTTAGATTGTTGGCCAGCTTCCTTTTTCAGTAATTGAAAAGAATCTTTTATCTATTTGTAGATTTATTATTTTTAATATCTCAGGGCTTCAGTTTGCCATCCTTCTTTTATCTTTAAATTTGAGACTTCCATTCTTACATATATTACCAAATAGGACTGGAAAATGAAGACTTCATCTTGCCTAAGCAAGAACAGAACTTATATTTATGATAGCAGACTGATTGATGCTTGCTTTTGTGGTACTACACAGCTGGTTGATTGGTGGTTGATATTTTTTGTTCCTGTATTTTGCTGTATTTCAACATAGAACTGCCTACTGAATAAGAATGACAGCCAGGCATATCTCTTTCTTTGCTAATTGAGCTAGGCATTGCTTCCTTATGTGAGCTTCATATAGAAAACTCATTTATTCATTCAACTGTGATACATGGCTCTCCACTCCCCACCCCCACCATGCATACATACCTCTCCAATGTTAGTGGCCAAAGGATAGGACAACACAGAACAGGTACTTGCTATAGAATAGCAAGTACCCTGTAGAACTTTATCAGAAGAATTACCTTTTATTCTGACTTCACACAAATAGTTCTACTCTATGAAGGGTGGAGCAGCAACAGTCTGCTGAGTATTTTTTTTATTTGGCCATATTATGGCTCCCAAGGTCATTGTTTTGATCTTGGATTTATACTTCATAGTCAATTGTGTTGCTGGTATTCATTTTTTCCCTGAAAACTTGGTAGAGCCTCTGTGCTCTCCAACACAATGATAATGAATAATGGGCAAGGTTTTAAAATAATCTCTTCTTAAAGACGTTGTTCCAGTTCCATTTTAAGCTTTTTACACCAGTATCTTCACATTCATGAATTTTACAGACTTTAAATGTTTTTCTTTGCCTTTACTTTTTAAGTGTTTTCTGACTCTAGGAATTGAGCCCCTATAAACTGGGAGAACGAATCGTTAGATATTGCTGTGTCTTTGTATCCTTTAAGATCTGTCTCTGCCCCAATAGCGAAACAAGATTCTTTCTTTTTCTCCTTTTCCATAAGTCCTCTAAAAAATCCCTAGAAATCTCAATTTGTTACTGCCTCAAATTTAGTTTCAAGTAATCTACTTCTGTCATCTGCTTCTAATTTTTGCAGAGTCAGGAATTTTAATGTAGTGACAGAGTTCTGGATCATCAAATTGTTTACTTTTTTGAACTCAGTTATTTTTAGTAAAGAAGATGAAGATCGTTTTCCACATTTTGGTGAAGGTTAATTTAAACCAGCCAGGACATTGCTTCTAATATATTTGAAGGACACTGTTAACTTTTTAAAATACCAAATTTGAAAATTCACAGCAGAAACACTTTGGAAGTCCTGAAAAATGGTAGCAAGAATATGTGAGGAGTAGAAGCTTCTTGAAGGTAACTTGAGGATTCCATAAGCACTTGATTAGGGATAGACCTGATAAATGAGCTTAATATTCCGACCACATTTAACCATACTTGTTACAGATTACTCTCAAAATATAGTAATTATTTATTTGGAGGGCAAAATGTTTTAATGTATGCACAATATATTCCAGATTCAACACTTACTTGAAAAGCTTTAACCTTTTTAACTCTTAGAAAATACCATAGTAACTTGTTGGCCAGTGTCCAACCTGTCCTTTGCATAGTCAGAAACTCAATTTTGTCAGTCTACTAGACTTGATTAGCTACGGAGTGCTGACTAGAACTCACAGGCTTCTAAGACACCGATGCATTGGAGAAGGTCAATTTATTAATTTACAATGAGAAACAACTGCCAGAAGGCCTAAATACTCATGCTCGCCTGACCAGCTCATTGTTCCCCTGTAGACAACCCACACGGGAAGCCAAATTATAATCAGAAGGTTGCTTGGTTAGCAAGGAGTTGGAACAAAAGAAGATTTCTGATTTGAATGTGTAGTGGCATCAAGCAAAGACAGCGTGATTCATTCATCTTCACATAGAGATAACCCTGCCATGGGTGGTAATCCTCAGGATCCATTGACTGAGATGCTGCCTCCTGAGCAGTGCTTGAATTGGGCACTGTCTTCATTTTTCTTGTAAGACTGCTTCTGTATATTTCCATTGCTTTTAATAGACACATTCCTTCTGAAAAAGTTAGTATCTTCCATCAGGTTATATAGGAAGGTATTTCCGCCCTTAGAGTTGTTTCTTTTTAATGAGAATCTGTTTATTTCTGTGCTGATCCAAGTGAGGACATACTCACTTCCCATTTCTCTGGAGAGCACCTCACTGTTACGTTCATGGATTTACTGTAGGGACTCTTGGTTATTAGTCTAGAACTCCCCAGTTACCCCCAGAAAAATACAGAATTACTGTATTAGTTTCCTGGGGCTGCCGTAACAAATTGCCACAAACTGGGTAACTTAAAATAACAGAAATTTATTCTCTCACAAGAGGCTAGAAGTCTGAAATCAAGGTGTTAGCAAGGTTGGTTACTTTTGGAGGCTCTAAGGAAGAATCTGTTCCTCTTTCCATGCCTCTTTTCTAGTTTTTGGTGGTTGCCAGCAATCTTGTGCTTTTTGGCTTCCAGCTGCATCACTCCAGTTTCTGCCTCTGTCATCACATGGAGCTTTTCCTACTTGCCTCTGTCCAGATTTCTCTCTTCTTTTAAGACAACAGTCGTGCTAGATTTAGGGCCTACTCTAAGCAGTATAACCTCAGCTTAATTACATCTGCAAAGGCCCTTTTTCCAATATCGACACATTTACAGGTTCCACATAGACTTGAATTTGGCAGGGAGCTGGGAGTGGGGGGACACTATTTAACCCATTACTGTAAAGAGCTCAGAAAAAAATATGGTTTGTCCCTTGATCTTACAGTGTTTATTTATTTATTCACCACTGTACTAGAATGAGTTACCTTTGATTATTCAAATGCTATCTATTGTTCAAAGAATGATACATTCTTTTGATTCATTTTTTTGAAAAATATGTTTGCAAACCTTTTGTTGATAAGAATTTTAGAGCTGCAGTGACCTTTAGACATCATGTAGTTCAGTAATTCTCAGTTTTGGTCACATTAGAATCACCTTGGCAATTTTAAAAAATTCTAGTGCTCACCTGGCACCCCAGACTGATTAAATCATAATATCTAAAGAGACTCAGGCAACAGCATAATTTTGAAAATCCCTCCAGGGTTAGCGGGATTACAATGTATAGTCAAGATTCAGAACCACTGATAACCTTTGTTTTGTAAATAAGGAAATAGGGGCCTGGAATGATGAAGTGACTTCTCCAAAGCCTTAAAACTAGTTATTGGTAGCCCTGAGATAAGAGTTTATATCCTACACCCCTCTTCAGCTCTTTCCTGCTGCCTCTCTTCCATTTAGGCAGAAGTTCCCTTCAAGTTAAGAAAAAGTATTACTATTAAAAAGTACTTCAGATGATCCATTTGGGATTTTAATTTGCAGTATCATATATAAAATTAATATATTATGAAACAGTTTTGGTGTTGTATGTGTGCTTTCTTTCTCTTTGAGGGGGAAGAATTGTTAATCCTTGGATGACTGTGTTTTTTAAATTAAACTTGAAAAAAATTACAAAGGTTTCTAATTACATTTAAAATTTGGGAACATGTTGCCATTTATTGTATTTTTATTTTTAATATAATCTTTTACCCAGTTATAATGCATCCTGCTTTTTGCCTCTGGCTGCATCACAGTCCACCTAATAGATGAAATATTTTATTTAATAATTTCCTGAGATATTCAGCAATCTTCTTTTTCACTTGAGATATAATTTTTATGTAAGTTTTAATCTAATTTGTATATAACATTTTTCATATTTTATAAAAAATGGAATCATATGATATGTACTTATTTGTATCTGGCTTCTTTTGTTCAACATATTTGTGAGAGCCATTTCGTATTGTTGAAGGTAGTTATAGATTGTTTATTCTCTCAGATATATACTATTCCCGTATGTAAATATACCATAATTTGTCCATTCTGCTGCTGATGGTATCTGGGTTGATTGTAGTTTGGGGTTGTTATGGATAATGCTGCTATGAGCATAGTTGTAGGTGTCTTTTGATGGACACAAGCGCTCATTTCTGTTGGGCATATACTTAGGAGGGAAGTACTTGGCCATAAGGTACGCATTCACTCTGCTTTAGTTGATACTGCCAAGCAAATTTCTAAAATAGTTTTACCAGTTTATAATTCACCAGTGGCATATGAAAGTTTTCCTTGCTTTACAACCTTGCTGACACTTGGTATTTTCTGCCTTTTTTTTCATTTTAATTACTCTGATGGGTATAGTTGTATTGCAGTTTGGTTTTCATTTGTATTACCTTGAGACTAAAGAGGTTATCTTAAGCTCCTTTCCATGTGTTTATTGGCCATTTCTTGAAGTGCCTGTTTAAGTCTGCCTATTTTTCTGATAACCCCTTCTTTAAAAATAAAACATTAATATAAAAAATCTTGTAGACCAATACAGATTCTTATAGAGTCGAGCATGTGTACATGACTGTGAACAACTTCTCTTTTAAGTCTTTGATGAGAGACCATAAAATTGCCTAAAATTGGGATTTTCTTGAAGAAGTATACAATTGCCTCAGGATTTACAGGTCTTAGCACAATGTTTCTTAATCTTTGTTGTGCATCAGAATCTCTAGTGGAGCAACACCAAAGAGACTGATGAAGTACATTGAGGGTGGGGCCCTGCATCTGGAGTTTTTAAAAACTCTGCAGATGATTGTGATACTCATCCCAAGTTGAAAACTACCTCAGAGGGAGACTTCACTTGGCATTGTTGCCAAGGAGAGTTATAGGAAAATAATGATCTTAAGAAGGAAAAAAAACCTCTTAGTTTCTGTTTTTAGCTTACTTATAAGTTTTGTTAAAATTTTTGTTTTCTTAATTACAAACAGACATTTTTGGCTATTAAGATAATCATGCAGTTGACAGTTACTGTGAAAATTTTAAATATATAATTTTAAACTTTTTATTATAGAAAATTCCCAGTAGATTCAAAAGCAGAAAGAGGAATATAACGAAACCATTGTACTCATTACCTAGCTTCTAAAATTATCAACACGTGACCAATCTTGTTTGATCTATTCCCACTTATATTCCCTCCCCAGTCCTGGATTATTTTAAATGCAGACATATCATTTAATCTATAAATAAGCAGTATGTATCTCTAAAGAATAGTCATTAAAAAAAAAACCTGTAATACTACCATATCATTGTCACACCCCCCAAAAATGAATAGTGATTCCTTAATTTCATCAAATAGCCAGCGTTCCATTAAAAACATTTTTTTACTATTTACTCGTTTGAAGCAGGATCCAAATGAGGTTCGTTTATTTGCAATTGACATATCTTTTGAGCCGCTCTCTTAAAGTAGGGTTTCCTACCCTGTCTTGTTTTCTTGCTACTGCTGTTGTTGAAGAAACCAGGTTGGTTGTCCTATCAGTTTCTCACAGTCTGGGTTTTGCATTCTTATGGTACTGTTCATATTGTCATGTATAGTTGTAGATGTTTATAATTCTGTAAAGAGAAGCTTACCCTCGTGAATCACTTGGTGTCCTCCAGTCCTTATGTTGACATCTCTTCATTCTTTTTGGTCGTTTGAAGCTTATTCTGCAGTAGGTTCCTCAGGAGGTGCTTGTGGGTGCATTATTCCCATATTCTGAAGAGCCTATCTGTTTATGAAGGTCAGTTTGGCTGTATGTAAAATCCACAGTTTACATTTTTTTTTTGATTACTTTAAATATGTTACTCTATTGTTTTCTGGCAAAAAGCATTGTCAGAAAGTATGATGACGGGGCTTCCCTGGTGGCGCAGTGGTTGAGAGTCAGCCTGCCAATGCAGGGGACACGGGTTCGTGCCCCGGTCCGGGAGGATCCCACATGCCGCGGAGCGGCTGGGCCCGTGAGCCATGGCCGCTGAGCCTGCGTGTCCGGAGCCTGTGCTCCGCAACGGGAGAGGAAAAAACTGAAAGACCCCGGAATCACAAAAAAAAAAAAAAAAAAGTATAATGACAATCTGATTTTTTTTTTTTTCTTTACTCAAGACTTGGTCTTTAAAAATCTGCATGATCAAATCTTTTTTTTTTTTTTAAGGGTTGAATGTCCTACATACACAGGATTTTCTTTAATATGAAGTTTCAAGCTGTCTTTTCTTTTAGGAGAGTTCTGTTAAATTAAGATTTTTGTATTCTATAGTATTGCTTTGGGTTTTTTTAGGGCCTGCCATTATAAGTATATCTTTGTTAATCTTCTTTGTCTATCAGTTTTTTAAAAAATTCACTTTATCTCTTCTTTCTTTTTTAAAATAACAGTGTTATTGAGATACAGTTCATATACCATAAGAGTCACCATTTTATAGTGTACAATTCAGTGGTTTTTGGGTTTTATTAGAGCCATCCTTGTGGTATGAAATGATATCCCATTGTGGTTTTGATTTTCATTCCCCTGATGGAGAATGATGTTGGGCATCTTTTCAAGTGCTTATTTGTATTTGTAGATCTTCTTTGGAGGATTATCTATTAAAACTTTGCCCAAGTTTTAATTGGGTTATTTGCCTTTTTATTAAAATGTTGTAAGAGTTCTAGATACAAGTCCCACTTATCAGGTATATTATTTCCAAATATTTTTGCCTATTGTATAGGTTGTCTTTTCACTTTCTTGAGGGTATTATTTGAAGCATAATGGTATTTAATTTTGATTTAGCCCAATTTATCCTTTTTTTTTGTCATTTGTGCTTTTGTTATCTCAGAAATCATTATCAAGTCCAAAGTCACAATGATTTACTCCTATGCTTTCTCCTAAGTTTTATAGTTTTACCTCTTATATTTAGATCTAAGATATATTTGAGTTAATTTCTGTATATGATGTGAGGAAGGAGGGGTCCAACTTCGTTCTTTTGCATGTGCATGTCCAGTTGTCCCAGCATCATTTGTTGAAAGGCTGTTCTTTTCCCATTAGTTGTCATGACACACTTATTAAAGATCTGCCACAATAACTTGGTGTAAGATTTGAGTGAGATCCTTTTTTTGTTGGTTATTGTCTAGTAGTGAAATGAGTTTTTCTCTACATTTAAGAGGAAGGGAATGGCAAGGTTAGCTTTTCTGGTTTCATAGTCTAGGTTAAAGCTCTTCTGGGTTTTTTGCAAAGTGGGTATATATCCCTCTATCTTGTACTTTCTGAAATGTACCTTTTTCCGTTCCTCTCCACCACCTTTATCTGAAGCTTCTCTTTGCTTTGTCCCTATTGTGCTGTATTCCACAACTTGGATTCCATTCCTGGCAGTTTCTTTTTGGTGAGACTGTCTTGAAAAGGGAGCTTTGATTTGTTAATTTTGCAAGTTTATCAGGCTCAGACTGCATCATTAGACCTTACTTATACTACACTGGAGTCTGCCTGCAATTATTTATAAATCGAATTCTGTTGAACTCCCTCCCAGTCTCTGCTCCTGCTCTCAGACTGACCCCCACACTGTCCAGTGAGCACCCGCTGTGGACTGTGAGGCTCTTCTGTTCTATTCTCCAGCTGTCAGAAGCCCTCATGCCTTCCCATACTTCTTCCCGCACAGATGTACTGTGCAGATCTCATAGTAGTCCAAGGTTTGTTTCCACCTGCTTACATTTGGAGCTTTGTCTCCTGATTTTGTTGTAGATGTTGTCTGTGAATCTTTGGTTTTGCTATCCTCATTGCTTTGTCTGGGTTTATGGGGAGATTTAGAGGAGATTCAAAAAGTACACTGCCATTGCTCCCATCTTTCCAGAATCCTCTCATTGAAATGTTTTTAAAGCACATTCTGTTCCTTTTTTTAAACAGTATGGTGTCTACAAGTTAAACAGAAAATGCAATCCAGTCATTGATTTTGTTTTTTAATTAATTTATTTATTTTTGGCTGTGTTGGGTCTTTGTCGCTGCGCGCAGGCTTTCTCTAGTTGCAGTGAGCGGGGGCTCCTCTTCGATGCGGTGCGCGGGCTTCTCATTGCGGTGGCTTCTCTTGTTACGGAGCATGGGCTCTAGGCGCATGGGCTTCAGTAGTTGTGGCTCGCAGGCTCTGGAGCACAGGCTTAGTAGTTGTGGCACATGGGCTTAGCTGCTTCACGGCATGTGGGATCTTCCCGGGCCAGTGATCGAACCCATGTCCCCTGCATTAGCAGGCAGATTTTTAACCACTGCGCCACCAGGGAACCCCAGTCATTGATTCTTAGTTCATAACTCCAGGTAATTCTTTAGTGAAACAAATTATAGGAACTTTTTCTAGGCTGAGTTAAGTATCATAAAATGTTATCATACCTGTTGAATGTATGTCATATTTTGACTGTGCTAAAAATCAACTTTTCCCTTTCAGAATAACAAGCCTTTGTACTCATTTGAAGATAATTCAGACTATGTTTATGATGTTATGTGGTCACCCACCCACCCAGCCCTGTTTGCCTGTGTGGATGGCATGGGTAGGCTGGATTTGTGGAATCTCAATAATGACACAGAGGTGAGCAGGAAAATAACAAAAATTGCACTGAAAAATAGAAAATTGGAGATTTATTGAATAATTTGTGAAATTCCTTTTATCCCAAGAAATGTAAAAGGACTCTGTGATTGTAGCTTCATCACAAAGAAACCAAATAAGCTTTGTACCCTAAATAATAAACACCATGCTGTGCAGAACTGAAGGGAGAAATATTGTTGCCAAGAGGACTGGGGCATTTCCTTTTACTTCTAAAAAGCACTATCCTGTCTCTAATGTCCTGACAAAGTCTCATTCATAAGGCAACTGGGATATTTTTGATTCATAGGCTAGAAAGCAGATAGTTTCAGATTGTTGACATATGTTAGCCTTAATTCTGAATTTCTAAGTTTTCTCTTAGCCTTGATAGAATTGTATATTATCCATAAATATTAGTCTTAGGCTGACTTATTTGAATGAAGCAAAACGTATTTTGATGACTTGTTCCATGAAACACTGAAAACAGTGTTACTGTTAGTATAAAATTAATATAGAAATCATCAAATTTCCTAACTGCTACACTAAAATGAGTTATTAGGAATGAAATTTAACTGCAGCTATTATTTATGTTTAACCAGGTTTATTTTTACCAATGTGGAGAGGCTTGAAATGTTCTTAGAGTTCTGTATTGCTGTGTGGTGGTAAGAAGTAATGTTAGCAGTTCTGCCAATAAAAGTTTTTGAGGAGAAAGTCTCTTGGTGCCTTCCCCCACAGCCCACTCTTTCCCACATCTCTTCATATTTCTAGTGGCAAGTGTCCAAAATCCCTTGAAGTAAATTAGTTGGTTATACAGGACAAGGAAATTATATACTGGAAATGTAAGAATTTTAACACTGTGCTAACTCGTGCTATAGTAGTTTGAAGAGGAACATTAAGATACTGCTAGGGAAAGGTATTGACTGGCTAGATGACTGGACTTGATTATACATTTCTAGTTACTTCGAATGAGACCAATTTTTTTTCTTAATTTGGATTTTGGTGTTAGACATTTGTGGTCACAGTAAAATTTGGATCTTTTCTGTAATTTGCTAACTCAGAGAAAATATCTAAGTTATAATTTTTCTCTTATAACAATTTTGGCACTCTAGAAGTTTAAATTAATCATTTGAGGATGACTCGTGTCAAATAGTAGGATTATTTTTCATCAGATTTCAAAAATTTAAAAATTATTGTGATACTGTTCTGAGTCAAACATTGAAGGTTTGCTCCATGCGTGGCAAATAATTTCTTTTTCCTTAGCACAGCAGAGGGTACAGTCAGATTCCAGGGAATGGTGCCACTGTTGGTGACATCATCCTGCCCTTCTCCAGACAGTTCATGGGAACAGGGGCTTTGGAAAGACCCATACTGCATCTTTGGTATGAACTGTTTCTGGCAACTGTGGATCAAATCACAGGTTTTAGCTAACAGAGATGCAAGCTACAAAAGTAATTCCTGTCCTCTAAAATTGAACCGTAATCTGTTTATGAGGGCTTTTGAGATGTTTCTTTAAGTGAGGTTTTGGCCATCTGTTTTCAAATGGCTTGACTTCTTAAAGAAGTTAAAACAACAAAGAATCCTTTATTAAAGAGAAGATCTTTCAAAATGATGTATCCAGTCATGTGAAAATTTCTTATATAAGGACTTAAGTTATTTTCCCAAACCATTTTCAAGGATTGACTGTAATGTCCTTCAGAATGTGTCACTGAACAGGAAGAAAGTCGGGAAAATTCTTTATTTTCATCTTTGTTTTTAAAAATGTAGCCAGATTGGAGGAAAGAAGAATTAGTTTTACATGTTTATAGAAATCCTGATGAAACTTTTAACACTGCACTATATTTTAAATGACTTTAGGTGCCAACTGCCAGCATTTCTGTGGAGGGTAATCCTGCTCTTAATCGTGTAAGATGGACCCATTCTGGAAGAGAGATTGCCGTGGGTGATTCTGAAGGACAGATTGTTATATATGATGTGGGAGAGGTATGAGGCTCACTGCCTATAATTTTGACACATCTGTTTAGCTTTCACAGCATTGTAGTGGCAGTATCTTTGTGGCTAAAACTAGTCTTTGAAGTTCATGAATTGATAAAACTTACTTTTCACTATAGAAGCAACTCTTGAGATTAATTTTCTTTCTAAACTGAATGTCCTGTGTCCCCATGCAGCAGATTTTGAGGGTAGTATCATATGTTGGAAGTACTTCAAGCATGCATTGCTGGAAATTAGAAATTCTTCGGGCAGAAGAAATTCAGAGTTATAGTTGGATTTTGGGGCTTTACAGAATTGTTATTGAGATAAGATTTTATTTTTCTGTATTCATAGATTTCTTTGGGCCAAGTAGTGGAAATCAAAAGTAGTATCTTTTAAGAGTTATCTGATGACTATGTGAAATGTCAGTCTTGACTCCTTGAGCCTTGTTGCAAATCCATTATTATTGAACCCAACAGGATGACTTGCAGCTCTCTCATCTTTACTGTTTGGGTTGACTGTACACGATGCTCAGGAGTGATTTCCTCATGTTTTAGTCCTGGCTAGCACCTTATTCACTCTTTCTTTTGCTGTGCCTTATGATTCCCCATTCTCTCTGGAAACCCCACAGCCTCTAGCAATTAGATCTGGAGGGAGGTAGAGTGAATCATTTAGAACAGCCAGTTGAACTGTCTGCACAGATGGAACTACTCTGTATCTGCACTATCCAACGTGGTAGCCACTGGCCACATTTGGCTATTGAACACTTAAGATGTGGCTAGAACAACTGAAGAACTGAATTTTTTATTTTATTTAATTTTAAGTAATTTAAATGTAAATAGTCACATTTGTCTGGTAGCTACCATATTGGTTATCACTGTCCAATCTAGTCTCAAGTCATACGATAGATTTAGAAGCAGGCATATCCATTTGCCACACTGAATGTTTTGTGCCCTAATGTGGCATGCCAGATTCCTCATATATTATAATGACAGCTGTCAAAAATTTTTGGTTATTGGACTGCTTTAGTGAGGCAAAAGCATCACAAGCCTCCTTTCCCCTTTTGCTATTGGTACATCACTAAAGTGGTAAGAAGTAGCATACCTTTTGATGAAGATGGATTAAGATATCAGGAAAGGTTATCTTAGGTTCCAAACAAAAATAAACACTTACAAGAAACCAGATCTTATGAACCATGCTTCACAAATTATTTTATACTAGGAATGGTGCAAGAAGTAAAAATTTTTCAGGACTTCCTGCCCACCAGCAAAATCCATGAGATAGTGCATAGGAGTTATATTTACAGAGCATCGTTGTCATTCTCTCTTGCATGGATGATGATAATAGCAAAATCATTTCTGAGGCTGTCAAAACACACTTCCCAAACACTATCTTTTGTTTTGAAATGTTATAAATCATTGGTATAGTCTCTGTAATTATGGAAAGGCCATTCAGGTCAATTATTACTTTTTAATGGGAAAAGTATTTGAAAACACTGAATAATAGTAGGTAAGATGATCTTTTATTTCAGTGTACATAAAACATTGTATTTCTTTTAACAGCAGATTGCTGTCCCCCGAAATGATGAATGGGCACGGTTTGGCCGAACACTTGCAGAAATTAACGCAAACCGAGCGGATGCAGAGGAGGAAGCAGCTGCCCGAATACCTGCTTAGCTCCTGAAAAGGGAATATGTAGCCGTAGTGGATTTGGGGAAGACTCTTAAGTAGATCCTAGAACTATTTGCATGCTTCTGTCTAAATGATAATTAAAAGGAAATTTCGTGGATTAAACTGTGGATTTAATGCAGCAAGCAAATCTTACAAAGTCCTTTTTTATATAACATGCATCTTGTTTTGGATTTGTGTCATTTTTAATGCAGCTGATTGACTTTACAGAATGCAGCCTTTTCTGAATTCTTATACACAGGTGTATATTTGGTATTCTTTTGAAGTCTTTTCAGCTTATAACACTATATACAGTTATTTCTAAAGCACAGATTAAGTAAGTTCTACATATTTTTAAATAATCACAATTCCCTGTTATACTGATAATGTTCTCACTAACCATAATATGTAGGAACATTGTTTATTCTTAGCCATAGCATGAATACATCTATCCAGTTCCATTCTGATATTCTTTTTTTCTTTATAATTCATGTGATAACAATCTATAAATAAACACAAATATGCTTTAACTTTTCAAATTTTCATTTTGATTTACTCCTTGCAATTAAAATTTTATTAAATTCTGCTGCTTTTATAAAGTATCTTTTTTTCCATCTCTTTCTTTAAGCTCCCGTTGTAAGCAGCCACCTCAAACCTCATAAAGCTTTGTGCCTTAAATATACCATATAGTATACTGTAGATCTCCCAGTGCATTATGAGCTGATGTCTAGATAATCGATGTCAGTGACAAAATTTTTCCTAGGTTAATTTTTGTTTTAATCCCTTTTTTCTTTCCATCTAAGATAATTTAAAGAATAAACAGAAAGCTGCCTATTATTTTCACTGATTGAGATTATATGTGAGCCCTCTGAGACTGAAACCTCCTTTGAGAGAAATTGATTTTGTGGTTGCAGTAGCCATGAAGGAAAGTGCTCAAATGAATTTTGTCATTGAATCAACTCCACATCTTGAGATCTGTTACTACAACCCTATCTTATAAGCCTGAAAGGTAAGTGGCAGATATCTAAGAATTTGTGTTGCAGTCAACCTGTTTCAGGACTAGAGAAAAGGATTATGCTCAGATACTGAATTTATCCACTTTAAATTGTCCATTTCCTTGATCCTGACCTTTTGTCTTTCCAAAGTTTAACTGTCATTTATTCAACAACATGAACTAGGAAGGAAGAGTAGATGCCAGATTTTGAACATTTTTGTTTGGTTTGATTTTCTTAAACTAACAAAGATCTGTTGGGAAATGAATTTTTAAGTAAGTTATTCTTAACTATGAGTATTGTATAGTGTGAGGAATAATTGACCTGGAATATTAGACTCAAATTCTAATTCTAGCTCTGGCACTCATGGGAAGTGTGATTTTAGCCAACCAAGTCTTTCCATCTGACTTCTTTATTATCTAGGAATTAAGTTAGGATTAGATGATTTCTAAATTTCCTTCCAGCTCTAAAATTATTGATTGTAATTACTTCAGGCAGTTCTCTATTTTTATATATTCAGTTTTCATAAGTTGACACCTCATAATTGCCTATTATATACCAAAGATTTTTTTTAATATCAGCAGGCAAATAAATAAGTTATCTCATGGTGGTAATGTCTGTGAGTCAAAAATTCAATTTAGCAGGGTCACACTGTCTTAGTATAGAATTCATGTAATCACTAAAATAGTTATTGCATTCTTGCCCACCATTTATATAAATGACTAGAAAAAGAGAAAACATAATTATGATTAAGGTTGGAAATCACGAGATGTGGCAAATCCAGCTGCTCATGGGATTCAAGTTGATGTATCCAATTGTGAAAGAATAAAATTGGTAAGTGTTTGTAAAATACTTCTCACCAAAGAGTTTTTGCTTTTTGGAAACAACTTTCCCTCCCCTCTCCAAAAATGCAGCGTGGACCTTTATCTTTGCCCATTTAACTTTAGTCTACATTTTTAAGAACACATGAATTTAATGTGAGGAATTGCCTTTTAAAAGTTGACTATGTAATAGCAAAAAAGAAAGTACTGAGGCTGTCAATATTGGTATGAAATCTTCTGACAGATTAAGCTGACTAGAAAAGTGTTGCAGCTCTTCACTCTTTTAGAAATGAAAACCTTATAATTTAAAAAAATATCCACTTACAGAAATTGTACCTTATTTGTTACCGGTTATAGTTTTTTTCTGAGTGGGAAACAAGCCATAGTTTTCTAGCTAATTTCTTGTTTTGTGTTTATTGTTTGGTTGTTTTCTTTTTGAATGAGAAGTTAAAGATTATTGGTTACCCTCGTTTGTGTAGAGGAAGAATACTTAGTTTTGCAGACAATAATTAACTTGCAGTAAACCTCAGAAATAACCATTGTTTGGTATCATTTAAGCCAAAAAACTTAAAATTCATTGGTAGAAGCCATCTTCTGGTTTATTGATCCAGTTCCCTACAATGTTTAGAAAATCTCTAGATATAAAATATTGTTGCAATGATGCTGAGATATTGCATATTGAAGGAATGGATGACTTAAAATTTCGGAGGAGGAACTAAAGGAAAGTAGTGTTAGGGATGGTCCTTGTCTTTCAATATTGTAAGAGCGTTGATTCATTCTGTTCTGTGCTAGTACTGATAGACTGTAACCTCTACCACTTGAACCACATGGAAAGGAAGGTGCTTGAATGAGTGAATGAAAATCTGTGAAGTGTACAATTTTTCATCTTTCCATTTTGTCGGGCAATGCTTTTTAAATGTCTTTCCCACAATCCTGGTATTTCAACATTGGCATTGTGGTATTTTATAATTAGAAAACGGTGTACAATTAAGTACATTGGAGAGAATGGAGCTCTGATTATAGCTTCAGCTGCTCAGTGGCTGTGAGAACCAAGTTGTTTCAAACATGACATAGCGCCCCAGGTGGTGGTATTATGCCTGAATCTTGGGCATAAGTCTAGGTAAAAAGCCATCGGCTTTGCCTCATTTGATGGTTTAGTGATGGGATTCCCATTGAGATTCCCCCCACACACACCCTGCCCCAAGATAGAGGCAAGAAACGAGTTCTTGCTTTCCTGCTATTATCTTGCTGATTGCTAGGCAACTAGGGACCTTACAAGTTTGGGAAAAATACCTGGGAATCTCTTTCTTTTTTTTTTGGTTACGAGGCATTTGGGGTCTTAGTTCCCCGACAGGGATCAAACGAACCCACGCCCCGTGCATTGGAGGCACGGAGTCATAACCACTGGACCGCCAGGGAAGTCCCAGTGGGAATCTTATTTTTGATTCATTAAAAAATGCTAGGAAATTATTTACTTAGAGATCTGGTTTACAGGTTCTGGGGACCTCTAGTGCTACCAAAGAATAGGAAAGTTACCCCAAAGGCAAGAAGAAAAGAACAGCCATGTTCATTATTTCTTTTGAAGTAGAGGATTACAATTAACATTCTTTTAACTAATCAATTTCAATGCCCTAAGAAGGTAATAATTTGCTTGCACTTAATATATTATAATTTTTAAATCCTTTTCACGTATAAGAAACACGTTTTAGAGAAAGATCCTACAATCCTAACCAGAATGCCAACTGGAAGACTTTGAATAGTCATCACATTGTAATGCTTTTCTCAATAGGACGGTGCTCTCAGACCTTTTCTTGGAATTTTGATGTACAGATTCTCTTTCTGCCTGCCATGTTCACAGTCCCCAAACTTCTTAAAGTTCAAATGGATTTCTGGTATTTAAGTTTTCAGTATGTAGCTTCCAGCCACTGATAGTTTGAACATAGCCAATCAGCAATCTTTTACAAACTTTTCTAAAATTACAGTATTTTGTGTTGTTAGTTTCATAGCAGGAATCTCAGTTTTGGCTTCTTAATATTCCATTACCAGTTCCCAGTCAGAGGATGGAATCAGCTTGCACTCAGGTAAGCTTTCAGAAAAGTCTGTTTCACTTTGTGAGGTCGTTTATTCAGGTCTGTGGTAATGTATTATCCTGCCTCTCTTGTAATGCACTTGATTTGGTTGGAAAGCTGTGGGGCAGTGATTGTGTAGGTGTGGAACACACCCACGTGGTGCTGAACATGCTGAGACCCGACTCTGTGACTCCGGAAATCAGTGTACCACCAGTAAGGCTTTGATGGTGAGTAATTTTATATCTTCTGTGAATTTTTGTAGTAGACTTAAAAAAAATTTTTTTTCTGAACAAATAGAAATGCTTTGGATCAAAATCTTTTATACTTAAGGGTGGCTTGGTATATGGAAAAAAAGAATACTGGGCTCAAAGGTCCCAAGTTCTATTTCTGAAACTCCCCATTACCAGTAATATCACCTGGGACAAGGATCAGTATTCTCATGTTAAGTGATGAAAATATTTGCTTTCTGTGAAGGTTACATGAGATATATGTGAAGACTTGTATGTTATGAAGTACCAAACAAATAAGGGATTTTTTTTTTTAAGAATGTAAGAATGGAGAGAGACCATTTTATGTAGCCATCTGTGCAGTGTAACAAGAGCTAATCTAAGGATTAGGTGGCTTGGTGTTCAAGAAAAAATTTTTTTAATTTTAAGAAATCATGTCACAACTTGAACTCTCAGATGTTTAGGAGTAGAAGTGAACTGAGGGAGAAATATTAATTGTCCTTAATAATACTTTTCCTAGGAGTACTTTCTCTTACTGCACTCTATGGTAGAATTACAAATTATGCTAGTAGAAAAAAATGACCCACTCAGTTTCCAGCTGATACTCAGCTCTTGCTCTTATGTTAGTTACATAACTAACATATCTGGAGCCTTAGAAAAGGGGAGGTGGAACCCCTTTTTCAAATCAATGAGAAAACAAATTTGATCCAGCTACATAGTAGTAGAACTGGAATCAGTCACTTCCACGAAAATCTGGGGAACAGTAGTTACTCAACTGTTGCAACTTATGAAGTACCCATCCGTCTTCCCTAGGGTCAGTCCCCTTGGAAATAAGACAGGCTCATTTTAGGAAGATGGTCACTAGAAAGAGGAGCTTCGGTCCTTGAGGATCTGTGTTTGTTGCCAGGCGTAGAGGAAGCCCTAAAATTAGTCCTGCAGGAATAGCTTTTCTCTAACTCATATCTAGATTAGTAGATCTCTGCTGTCCCATTGTATCCAAAATATGATTTCCAGAAATAAGTCAAAACCTGACTTGTTAATGAATACTAATTGAGCAAGAAACTTGGTAAAATGACTAGGCCCTTCTTTTTTTTTTAGATACATTTATTTATATTTTATTTATTTATTTTTGGCTGTGTTGGGCCCGTTGCTGTGCACAGGCTTTCTCTAGTTGCGCCGAGCAGGAGCTACTCTTCGTTGCAGTGCACGGGCTTCTTATTGTGGGGACTTCTCTTGTTGCGGAGCACAGGCTCTAGGTGCGCAGGCTTCAGTAGTTGTGGCTCGGCATCTAGAGTGCAGTCTCAGTAGTTGTGGTGCACGGGCTTAGTTGTTCCACGGCATGTGGGATCTTCCCGGACTAGGGATCGAACCCGTGTCCCTTACATTGGCAGATGGATTCTTAACCACTGCGCCACTAGGGAAGTCC